AAATTTATTTATATATAGATATATATATATACATCTATATATATATTCCAGATACTAGCCCTCTATTGAATATTTGGTTTGCAGATTTTTTTTCCCAGTCCATAGTTTGTCTTTTCATCCTCTTAATGGGGTCTTTGACAGAGCAAAAGTTTTTAATTTTGATGGGGTCTGGTTTTTCCTTTTATGGATGGTGCTTTTGCTATCAAGTTCTTTGCCAGCCTTTGAACCAGATTTTCCCCTATGTTTTCTCTTTTCTTTTTTTAAGATTTTATTTTTAGGGCACCTGAGTGGCTCATCAGTTAAGCATCCGAACTTAGTTGGTTCAGCTCAGGTCATGATGTCATGGTTCGGGAGTTTGAGCTCTGCTCAGGCTCTCTGCTGTCAGCCCAGAGCTGCTTTGGATCCTCTGTCTACTTCTCTCTCTGCCCCTCCCTTGCTGATTCTCTCTCCCCCAACCCCTCTACTCTCTCAAAATAAATAAACTTAGAGGTGCCTGGGTGGCTCAGTTGGTTAAGTGTCCAAATTTGGCTCAGGTCATGATCTCACAGTTACTGAGTTCAAGCCCCGTGTTGGAAGCTTAGAGCCTGGAGCCTGCTTCTGATTCTATTATCTCCCTCTCTGACCCTCCTGCACTCACGCTCTGTCTATCAAAAATAAACATTAAAAAAAAGATTCTATTTTTAAGTAATCTCTACACACAACATAGGGCTCAAATGCACAACCCTTAGATCACGAGTCTCCTGCTCTACCCACTGAGCCAGAGAGGCGCCTATCCCCTATTTTTTTTTTCTATATGATTTATAATTTTACATTTAAATTCATGATCCATTTGGGGTTCGTTTGTATGAAGTGTGAGGTTTAGGTTGAGGTTCTTTCTGTGTGTTTGTCAATAGATATCCATTTGCTCTGCCACCACTTGTTGAAAAGGCTACCCTTTCTTCATTGAATTGTCTTTGCACCTTTGTTTAAAGAGCTGGCCATGACTGTGTGGGTCTCTTACTACAGGGCTGCCATAGCAAAATACCATAGATGGGTAGCTAAACAAGATTTGTTTCTTTGTAGTTCTGGAGGCTGGAAATCCAAGATCAAGGTGCCAGCAAGTTTTGTTTCTCCTGAGGCCTCTCGGTTTGCAGATATTTGCCTCCTTGTTGTATCTTCACATGATTGTTTTTCTCTGTGTGCTCTCTGGGTTTCTCCCCTTCTTCCTATAAGGACGCCAGGCCTATCGGACCAGAACGCCATTGTTACAACTTCATTTAACCTTACTCGTCTCTGGAAAGATCCTGTCTCTAAATATAGTCATTGGGGATCAGGACCTCAACCTATGGATTTTGGGAGGACATATTTCGATCCATAGCAGGGTCTATTTCTGGCCCTCACTGCCGTTCCATCAATCTGTGTGTCTGTCCCTCGGCCAGTATTATGCTTTTGATTTTTATAGCTATTTCAGTAAGTGTTAGCATTATTGTTCCTGTTTTATTCTTCTCTGTCAAGATTGTGCCTTTCCATATAAATTTTAAGAGTAAACTTGTCGGTAGTAAAACCTTACTGAGGTTTTGACAGGAAGTGCTTTAAACATATAGATAAATTTGGAGAGAATTAATATCTTAATAGATTGAGTCTTCCAGTTTAATTAGAAATGTGATTGATTTTTTGTGTGTTGATTTTGTATCCTGTAACCTTACTGGACTCACTAATTAGTTCCAGGAGGTTTTTTTGTAGATTCTTTGGGATCGTCTGTGTAGACAAACAGGTCATCTACAGATAGGAATGGTTTTATTTTTTCCTTTGCCATCTCTATGTCTTTTCTTCCTTATTACAGTGGCTAAAATTTTTAGTAAGATCATGGTAAGAGCTGACTTCATTGTCTTGCTCATGGAACTTAGGGGAAAAGCCTCAGTCTTTCACCATGAAGCATGATATTAGCTGCAGATTTTTTATAGATGTTCTTTATCAAGTTGAAGTCATTTTTCTTTTTTTCTAACTTGGTGAAAGTTGTTATCAAAAACTGGTGTTGTGTCCTATGACTTTTCTTCTTCAACCTGTTGAAACGAATTACATTGGTTTTCAAATGTTGAATCAGCCCGGCACAGCTGATGTAAATCCCACTTGATCCTGGTATATAAATCTTTTTATACATTGTTGGATTTGTTTGCTAATTTTGTTTAAAGTTTTTGCCTCTAAGTCCATGAGAGATAATGGTTCATAGTTCTCTCTCTCTTTCTCTCTCTCTCTGTTTTTGTTTTGTTGTTGTGTCTTTGTCTGATTTTGGTAACCAGGTAACACTGGCCTTATACAATGAGTTAGGAGTGTTCTAGTTTCTGGAAAAGTTTGTGTAAGACTGATATTAGTTTTTCTTTTGGTGTTTAATAAGATTCTCAAGTGAAGCCGTCTGGGCTTAGGGATTTCTTTCTTGAGAACTTTTAAACTACAAATTCCTTTTCTTTAATAGTTACAAGTATTCAGGATATATTTTGGTTTGAATTTTCTGATTTTTTTAAGTTGTCCATTTTTTTCTTCCCCAAATTGTTGAAATTTTAGTGTGTAGTTATTTGTGGTATTCTCTTATTATGCCATTAATGATTTCAGGATTTGTAGCAATAATCTCCTTTTCATTTCTATTTCATTCCTCTCCTTTTTTCTTTATCAGACTTAATAGAGACTTATGAATTTTACTGATTTTGTTTTTAAAGAACTAAGTATTGGGGCTGGGCACCTGGGTGGCTTGGATTAAGACACTGACTTGGTTAAGCATCTGACTTTTGATTTCGGCTCGAGTCATGCTCTCATGGTTCCTGAGATCGAGCCCCACATCTGGCTCTGCACTGACAGTGAGGACTCTGGTTGGGATTCTCTCTCTACCTCTCTCTCTACTGCTCCACCACTTGCACTCTCTCTGTTGCTTTCAAAAAAAAAAAAAATGAAGATTTGTTTTTAAAAAGAGCTAAGTATTTGTTTCACTGATTTTTCTCTATTTTCCTATTTTTAGTTTTATCCATTTCAAATGTTTATTATTTCCTTCCTTTGCTTGCTTTAGGATTATTTTGCTCTTTTTTAGGTTCTTAAGGTGGGAACTTAGATTACTGACTTGAATGGACCACCTGTCTCAGGTCATGGTGTCACGGTTTGTGAGTTTGAGCCCTCTGTCAGGCTCTGTGCTGCTTCATTTTCTGTGTCTCCCTTTCTCTCTCTGCCCCTCCCCTACTCACATTCTGTCTCTCTCGAAAAAAATAAACATTAAAAAAAAGATTATTGAGACTTTTCCTCTTCTGTATGTGCATTTAGTGCTGTATGTGTCCTTTATAGGACTGCTTTAGCTGCATTCCACAAATTGTGATATGTTGTGTTTTCATTTTCATTCAATTCTGAGTGTTTTTCTACATTTTCTTTGAGATTTCCTCTATGACCTATGCATTATTTTTAAGTATCTTGTTTAAGTTTTAACTGTTTCCTGTTGTCTTTCTGTTACTGATTTCTAGTTTGATTCCATTATGATCAGAGAATGTACTATGTATCACTCCAATTTTTTTAAATGTATTGCAGTTTGTGACCCAGGATGTGGTCTACCTAGGTGAATGTTCCATGAATGCTTAAAAAGAATTTGTATTCTGCAATAGTTCTGTGGAGTGCTGTGTAGACATCAGTTTGGTACCGTTTGTTGATGTTCAGTTCTTCTCTATCTTGGCTAATTTTCTACTTTGCAGTTCTCAGAATTGCTGACAGTGGACTTTTGAGATGCCCAACTATCATTGTGGGTTTTTCTGTTAGTCTTTTATTTCTATCATTTCTTCTTTCACATATTTAGAAACTCTATATTGTTTGGTGCATACATAATTCAAAGCACTATATCTTCTTGGTGGATTGGCCCATTTGTTATATAACATTTTTCTTTCTTGTAATTTTTTTTGCTCTGAAGTCTGTTTTATCTGTTAATTGTATAACCAACCACTCATGCTTTTCTTTTTTTAACGACTGATGTTAACAGGATATATTTTTCTTCATCCTTTTACTTTTAACCTACCTATGTTGTATTTGAAGTGAGTTTCTTATAGAAAGCATATAGTTGGATGCATGTTATTATATCCACTCTGCCAATCTCTGTCTTTTGATTGGTGTATTTAGACCATTTACATTTGAAGTAATTATTGATTGGGATGCCTAGCTGGTTCAGTTGGTAGAGTGTGTGAGACTCTTGATCTTAGGGTTGTGAGTTCGAGCCCCACCTTGGGTACTTAAAAATAAAATTAAAAAAAAGTAATTACTGATTTGTTAGGACATAAGTCTCTTGTTTTATTATTTGTCTTCTGTTCATTTTCTCCATTTCTCATTCCTTTTTTTGAGCTTCCTGTGGGCTGCTTGAACATGTTTTAAGATTTTATCATATTTTGTTTATGTAGTTTTTTTTTAGATTAATTGTATAGTTTTCTTAGTGGTTTGCTTTAGGTATTAAAATATTCACTAGCAGGGAGCCTGGGTGGCTCAGTTGGTTGGGTGTCCAACTTCAGCTCAGGTCATGATCTCACCATTCCCGAGTTCGGTCCCCACGTCGGGCTCTGTGCTGACAGCTCAGAGCCTGGAGCCTATTTCAGATTCTATGTCTCCCTCTCTGTGTCTGCCCCTCCCCCAGTCATGCTCTGTCTCTCTCTCAAAAATAAACATTAAAAAAAAATTTTTTTTTTAATATTCACTAGCAGTAATTGTTGCTACCTTTGAACATGTATAATGTGCTAAGTCTTATAAAAAGGGTTTTATAAGCTTTGTGTCTATGTAATCTTTATAGAAACCCCATGAGGAAGGTTCTATTTCAATCCTCATTTTATACCTGAAAACTGATGCTCAGAGAACTTAATTAATTTGCGCAGTCACACAGTTGTTAAGTTGGTGGGCAAACCCAGGTCTGACTACAAAGCTCATGCCTTTAACTGTAATACCCATTAATGTTAATTTTATGAGAGATGTTTTACATCAAAATTGTAATGTATTTTTATCTCATTTCCTAGGTTTTGATGATGATGGTTCAGAATTTCATGAACATATATTTCTGGATAAATATCTGGAAGATTTTCCAAAACAAGGACCAATTCGCCACTTCATGGAGCTGGTGACCTGTGGCCTTTCCAAAAATCCGTATCTGAGTGTTAAGCAGAAGGTTGAACATATAGAGTGGTTTAGAAATTATTTTAATGAAAAACAAGACATTCTAAAAGAAAGTGGCATACAGTTCAATTGAAGACTATCAAAATTTCTATTTCAAGCCGGAGATACAACTAAATTAACTAATTTTACCAGAAGTTTTCCTATATTATGTTAATTACTACATCTGATTTGAGTGATATAAATGTTAAATTGCTTAAAAGTAATAGTAACTGAAGAATATTCTTGGATGGAGAAAAATCAACATTCATAGGATCAGTTAGTAATTCTTAACAGAAGACTGTCTTAGTAATAAGTTTAAGACCGCTTCCTCCAGCAATTTTGTTTTCAGTGACAGTACTTCTTTGAAATATAATTATTAGCCACATATCTGTTGATGTCAGGGTGCTGTAACAGTTGAGATGATTTATAGATAGGTTTATGTGCAGCAAAAATGTATATCTACATACACACATTTTATATATTTGTGTATATACATATTTATATATTTTTATGTTTTTCACCATAAATTAGTGACCCTTGTGTAAGTCTGGGTCACCAGCGAGAAGTAACCTTGTAAAAATAAGCAGCTTGTTCTAACCCCTTCTAGTCCTTTAGGTCTTCATGCCAGAGTTAGAACTGTTTATTTTTCTACTATGGTGCTTAGCAGTGTGACTTGGTTTCATACAACTCAAAAGATTGAAGATTCAAAACTCAAAACAAGAGTTCAGTTTACAGTGGCCCCAGCCTAATAGTGTTTCAGGTCCCTAGCATAAGCAAATGAAAATCCTGTGAAGGAAGCCATCATAAACTGAGGATTCAAATTATAAAACATAAAAGGAAACAAAGCAGCAGGATTGCACACAAGGAGAAACAGACTACAAAAACAGACTTTGTAAAGCCTCTAAATACCAGGCTGATCATATTCACACTATGAAGTATATATAAGATAAAGCATAGGGCAAGAGACAGTAAAAGTGATTAGATTTTGGAAAAACAGTTAGTGAAGGAGTGTAACAGAATAGATACTGGAAAATAGATCTAAAGAAATCCATATGTAGTAGAGAGAAGAAAAGAGAAAAGAAATATGAAAGCGAGGTAAAGATTGGTATAAGAAGGTAACATTTGTTAGGCACCTGGCTGGCTCAGTCAGTAGAGCATGTGACTCTTGAACTCAGTTCAAGGCCCGTGTTGGGCATGGAGCCTACTTTAAAAAGAAAGAAAGGGGGGAAAAAGTAATATTTGTTCAATCAGATTTCCAGAAGGTAAAAAAAAAAGAAATGGGTCAGAAGCTATCTTTGGATAGTTAATGGAGGCAAATTTTTTTACAGTTTATGAAAGACATCCGTTCAAGGTGGAGTGTGGAGAGAACGTGAGATTTGCTTCTAGCAAATAGACTGTGGCAGAGGTGACTCCCTTGATTGGGTTATGTTCTGTGGCAAAAGTGACGGGATTAGTCACTCTTGTGACTACATTACATTATGTAAGACTCCTTGTTAGCCAACTGGGTGACAATTCTACGGCTTCGAAGAAGCTGCTGTCCTGTGAGAAGGCCTGTGCATGGGCACGTGGCAAACTGCAGGCCCACCGGGAGCACGGGGCAGCCTGCAACGAAACGGGGATCTCAGTTTCTACAGCCTCAAATACCAGTTCCGCCACCAGCCGTGGAAGGGGACCCTACGCTCTGCAAAGGCGCACGTCCTGGCTGACAGCCTGCTGGCAGCCTTGTGAAACCTAGAAGAGGGGACCCAGCCAAGTGACCCACAGAAACCAGGAGATAATGTGCATGTTGTAAGCCGCTGAGTTTGACGTTATTTGTTATATGCCAGTAGAAAATTGACACAGAAAAGGAGATACAAAATTGTCAGAGAGTATGATTCTGTAGAAAGAAACAGTCTGTAAATTATAAGAACTAAGAGAATTTAGCAAGTTTGCAACTGCATTTCTGGATGCAGGCAACAGATAAAATATGACTTAGAAGATAGCACCAAAAATATAAATGAATAAAATCTTAATGAAAGACATGTAGGATCTTTGTGAAATAATCTTCCTAAAACTTTAATGAAACCCGGTGCTTGGGTGGCCCAGTCTGTTAAGCATCCTACATCAGCTCAGGTCATCATCTTGCAGTCCCACATCAGAGCCCCACATCAGGCTCTGCACTGCTCTGGATTCTCTCCTCTCCTCTCTTTCTGCCCCTTCCCCACTTGCACGGGGTCTCCCTCTCTCAAAAGAAATAAACTTTAAAAACTGTAATGAAACATAGTAAGTAATAAATAATGAAAAAAGGAGAGCCTGGCTGGCTCAGTCCGTTGAGCATGTGACTCCTGATCTCAGGATTGTGAGTTGGAACCCCACGATGGGAAGCAGTCTGTCTCTAAGGAGAAGATTCCTAAATTTGACTGTTAAAAATTTTTGTAAGTTTATTTTGAGAGACAGTGTGAGCATGGGAGGAGCAGAGAGAGAGGGAGAATATCAAGCAGGCTCCACGCTGTCAGCACAGAGCCTGATGCAGGACTCAAATCTCTGAAACTCTGAGATCGTGACCTCAGTTGAAATCAAAAGTCAGACTCTTCAACCAACTGAACCACCAGGTGCCACCCCCGACTGTTGACATTTGGAACTTGTAATTAAAAAAGACTGCCGTGAGTGAAAAGACAAGTGTCAAACATGAAGATAAATGCCTAAATATAATCACCAACTAATTTGTATATGGTATATAAAAAGAGTTCCTAAAAATCAAATAGAAGGATGGGGCGCTTGGGTGGCTTAGTCGGTTAAGCGTCAGACTTTCGCTTAGGTCATGATCTCGCGGTTCGTGGGTTCGAGCCCCGCGTCGGGCTCTGTGCTAACTGCCAGCTCAGAGCCTGGAGCCTGTTTCAGATTCTATGTCTCCCTCTCTGTGTCTGCCCCTCCCCCAGTCATGCTCTGTCTCTCTCTCAAAAATAAACATTAAAAAAAAATCAAATAGAAGGAAATAAATCAACCAAAAGAATATGGCCAAATGGCCAAAAGACAAAGACAGGCTTTTCATAGAAGAAAAAATATAAATAGCTAATAAATCTATGGAAGAATGCTCAAGGAAAAGCAAATTAAAACCATATTGTGATAACATTTGTATACTCTTTAGATGGGTGAGAAATTAAAAGGCAGGATCATTTATACACTGTTGTTGGGGGTGTAAATTGGCAACCACTTTTGGAATTACATAATTATATATAATATATAACAATTCTACATATATAGCAACTATATATGTATAAGTTGTATATAATTGTATATAATATGTTTTACACATATAATTATGTAACCTTATTTCTCCTGGAGTACATACCCAAAGGAGCCCTTGCAGATATGTGTTGAGAGGCATGTACGAAATTGTTCAGAGTAGCGGCACCTGGCTGGCTCAGTTGATAGAGCGTGCAACTCTTAATCTCAGGGTTGTGAGTTCAAGCCACACATTTGGCATGGAACTTACTTTTAAAAAAATGGGGGAAAAAAGTATTCAAAGTGGTAAAAAAACAGTGGAGAAAGTGCCCATCGCTTAGAGAGCTGATAAATTGTAGCTTATTTATGCAATGCAATACTATGCCGAAGTGAAAATTATTAAAATAGAGCTGTACACATCAACATGTATGATTTCAGAAATGATGTTGAGTGAAAAATAAGTTCTAGAGGAATGTATATAATACAGGACCAAGTACATAAAATTCAAAAGCCACGTTTTTAATATATTGCCTTGCACCATACATTTGATTTAAAAAAAAAAGAAAAACCGCATGGGAACGGTGAACACAGCACTGTATTTCTGAGAGGCAGGAGAGATGGCTTTGTGCTTGAGGAGGGACACACAGGGAGGTTCAGTAATATCCACATTCTAGTAAGCTGGATGGTAGGTTTGCAGGTGGTCGGGTGGTCTCTTATTATCATGCTTTACTTTTATTTGTATTGTGTTACAAATATTCTTTTGTATGTAACAACACTTCATAATATTCTAAGGAGTGAATGGAAATGGGTAAATAACTGGAAGACAGGCAGAGCTTAGCCATAGTAGTGAAAGATGATAGAGATGATATTTCCACAGCTGAGACTACGATGTTAAAAACATCCTTTATTTGGCCATTTGCTGACTTGACTTTAAAGAATGTATTCATTGGGGCTCCTGGGTGGCTCAGTTGGTTGAGCGTCTGACTTCGGCTCAGGTCATGATTTCAAGGTCCGTGAATTCAAGCCCCGCGTTGGGCTGTGTGCTGACAGCTTGGAGCCTGGAGCTGCTTCAGGTTCTGTGTCTTCCCCTCTCCCTACCCCTCCCCTGCTCATGCTCCATCTCTCAAAAATAAATAAACGTTTAAAAAAAAGTTAAGATCTACCTAAAAAAATGTATTTATTATCCTTAGATTCTTGGTTCTAAAGAATGTGTTGTCCTTAGATTCTTGCCTTGTTACCATTCTTAAAATCGATACAGAATTTCTTTGAGTAATTAACTTTAAATTATGCAAATAAAGACAACAAAATCCTCTTAATCCTAAAGTTGCTTTTAAAATGCTTGCATTTATACATGTATGCAAATTGACTATTAGGAAGATTTCATTCTAAGTGACAGAATCGTAGGGGCTGAAGCAAACCTGCTTTCTAGAATATATTAATTCAAGGACTACGCAGTTTCTGCAAAGTGAATAATTTACTGTGTCTCTTAATATCTCCTTGAACTAGAATATTGGGGATGGTGGCAGAGAAGGGGAAGTAGCTTGTCCTGTATTAGGAAAAGCAAACAGCTGTTGGAGTACGCTTGTAATTTAGAGCCTCTTAAAAAAAAACACCAAAAAACCCCTGTTCACTGCACAAGAAAGGACGGACTAATGTTTTCCAAGATTTCAGTAGTATCTTTGTGGAGAATGAAACATGGGTGCTCCTGTTGGACATAAGACAGTTGGCCGTGGTCTCTGGCACAGTACCCCAGAAGGGAGCATTCCATATATCTCCTAGTGCTTTTTTTTTTTTTTTTTTTTTTACCAGTTTTAATTGTGACAAATTTAATGTTCCTGTCTTGCTTTTAAATGGAAGGCAACAGGGGTACCTGGGTGGCTCAATTGATTGAGCATCCAATTCTTGATTTCGACTCAGATCTCACGGTTTTGGAGTTCGAGCCCCCCCCCCCCCGCCCCCGCCCCCGGTCAGGCTCTGTGCTGACAGTGCAGAGCCTGCTTGAGATTCTCCCTCCCTCTTTCTCTTCCCCTCCCCCACTTGCACATATGCGTGCACTCTCTTTCAAAAATAAATATTTACAAATATAAATACATGAGATATTTTTTAAAAATAAAAATAAGTGGAAAGCAACAGCTGGTCTAAAAGAGCTGTTAGCGTTGCATGCTCTACTATTTACTGAACAGTTCGGAGAGCAAAGAAGCAAACAAATGCTCTGATGGTCCCTCTGCTTACCTGCTCCTGAATCGTTAACAGTTCTGCAGTGTCCTTCCTGTACTTTCCTCCTTTCTTTGGTCTTCTCTGCTTTGGAGTCAGAAGCGTCGGTTCAGATCCCTGCTGTGTCAGTACGAGCTGTGATCTGAGAACACGGCTTAATCTCAGCCTGGTTCCTCCTTTGTGAATGATGCTCGTAATTCCCATCTTGCTGGACTTGCGGGTGTTAGAATCTAATGAGGCAGCGTACATCACAGTGACCGGCGCATCCTATGTGCTTCAGAGATAATGTCCGCCTTCTTTCTCTGTCCTCCCCAGGACCCCGATGTTAGGAAGGACGTTTAGTGTGTCATTCACTATCCAACATTTACTTGGGAACGGCCACTTGCTCCTGAAATTTTCACTGTCAGGTCTGTTACCATTACCTTCCATCAGTGCAACAGGACACTCAATTTTAGTTATGATGTATTGTCCTCCTCCTCCAAGATCCATAAACAGTCTTATCGCCATTGTCATCACTGTGTAGTGGACTCCTGCCTTCGCAGGTGGAAATGGGGACAGGCACATGTTGGGATAGAAGGGCCTCCTCTCTGGTGGCTCGGTGCTCAGTCCTCTACCTGACAGCTCCAGGCTCACTCCTGGTGAGAAGGGGCCCAGTTGTGTCCAAATGGGCAGATCCTTCATGAATGGCTTTTTCCTCTGGTCTGTCTCAACATCTCTTTGAGTATCCCCAGGATGTAGAATAAAAGTGATCTGCCCATATCAACAAGTGAGAGAGATTAACAGTTGCACACTACTTTTATAGCATATGAAGTGTTTTTACAGCTGTCACTCATTTATTGTTAAGCATTTACTGAGCTCTGCCATATGCCGGGCCTCTGCTAGACCCCAGAGTGTAAATGCACTGATGAGGCTCTCCTTGGCCTTGAAGTGTCATCTTAAAAGTCACTTCCCAGGAAAACCTTCTCTCCCTGATTTGTCAAGTGGCCTCCCTGCTTTCTGGCTAACACAGCACCCTGTTAACTTCCTTATTCCCTATCCTGATAGAGATTGTGTCAGCACTGTTGCCTGGGCTCATGACCTAACATATTGCTAGCTCCCACATAGGTGCTTAATAAAGCCACTTGGTTGAGAAGAGTGGATAATGACACATGCTCATGGAAAAGAGAAAGTTGAGTAGAGTAAGCCAGACACACATGGTCCCATTCTGTAGGATTCTGCTTACATCATATACCTACAACAGTGAAATTTATAGAGACAGAAAGTAGAATCGTGGTTGTCAGGGGTGGCAGCAGGGAAGGGTGGAGGGTTATTTAATGGGTACAGAGTTTTTGTTTGGGAAGATGAAAAAACTTCTGGCTAATAGTGATAGTAAGTTGTGAATGTACTCAGTACCACTGAGCTAGGCATTTAAGATGGCTAAGTGGCAGATCTGATGTATATATTACTAAAATTTAAAAAAATTGTACGATAAAGTGCAGACCATGAGCATAATAAAGATACTCCAGGGGCACCTGGGTGGTTCAGTCGGTTAAGCTTCTGACTCTTTGGCTCGGGTCATGATCTCACAGTTCGTGAGCTGACAGTGCAAAGCCTGCTTGGGA